ACTGAACCTCCTGCAGGAAGATCCTCATTCCTGTGTAGTCCCCCCTTTTATAGTTTAGTTTTTCCCTTTCTACTCCTGTTACCCTCTCCACTTTTAGCTCCACGATGTATTCAAAGCTCATAACTACGTGGTCACTAGCTCCAAGGGGTCTTTCATATGTGATGTGCTCAATGTCTGAGCTACTCAGGGTGAACACGAGGTCCAGTCTTGCTGGTTCATACTCCCCTCTCTCTCTCTCTCTGGTAGTATCCCTAACATGTTGGTGCATGAGATGTGTGTGTGTGTGTGTGTGTGTGTGTGTGTGTGTGTGTGTGTGTGTGTGTGTGTGTGTGTGCACGCGTGCGCCTGTGTGTGTGCGTGTCTGTGTGCGCGTGTCTGTGTGTGCATATCTGTGTGTGTCTGTGTGTGCGTGTCTGTATGTGTGTGTGTCTGTATGTGTGCGTGTCTGTATGTGTGCATGTCTGTGTGTGCATGCATTTGTGTGTATGCGTGCATGTGAAAAAGTTGTAAATGAACATACTGTGAACATTTGCAGTAAATCAGGACATAATAATAATATGAACTTTACATCAAAGTCAAAAGATGAGAATTTAACAGTTGCTAAATATACAATTACGTATTAACCTTACCTTGTAGAAAGAAACGTGCACAAGTATCATACAAAGTAATAAATTCAGAAAAGGCTTGAAGATGTTACATGGCTAAAATTAAAAGCATCCTTGAGAGTACAAAAGGTATATGAATATTTGCTTTATAATGTCCAGAGAAGCATTACCATTAAAATAAAGACAAACACTGCCCTTGTGTTTTCTTTAGTAATATCAGTTGCATCACCAACTAACGACTAGAAAGATTGTCATACTTTTTAAACCCTTTACCCATTATTATTATTTCTTCCTCAAATTTTCCACTATTCACATTACTTTTGAGGAAACTCATCCACATTACAAATTTTATTATGCAAAATGTAAACATAAGGTGACTTCCAATATCATAAAAAGCTAAGTTTAAAATATTTCATCATATACTTTATGTTGCTGCTGCTGCTGCAGTCTCTCCAGTAGGTGAAAGTAACCAATGAACATTTGCTATATGTGGTTTATAGGGGTAATTAAAATGATGAAGAAAGGTGTGAAGGCAGTTTTAAATGGTAGGGGGCTTGAACATCCAGCAGGTGTGTGTTAATGGGAAGGATCAGAATAGAGATGGGTGATTTATGGAATCTGACATCCCAGTGAAGTATGAACAAAGTAATACATATGAATGGAGTCAGGGAACCGGTTATTGGTATGTGTCCTGGAGGTGAGAAGTATCATGCAATGTCTGCATGCTAAAGGAGGGCTGGGGATGTTGCAGTTCAAAGGATCATGTGAACTGTGATTTCTTCTCACTTCTGGCAAGAAAGTTATTGAATGAATGATGGTAAATCTTTCCTCTTTTTGAGTCACTGTACCTTGACAGAAGATGAGTAGTGTGGTTAAAGAAAAAAAAAAAGACAGATAAGACAATAATGGAAAAGAAAGAAGTTATAGTGTACTGACAGCACTTTGTACAGACACACACACTTGACTTACAGAGTCATTGTACATATATACTTGACTTACAGTGTCACTGCGCATACATACTTGACTTACAGTGTGTGCCACTGAATATAAATACCTGACTTAAAGTGATTGCCACTTCTCAAATGAGAGCTGTTTCTTTTTTCTACATTCACACTGCAAGTCTCAATTGGTGGTCAATTCCATTTTCTCTCCTTTTACTTTCCTTTCAAAGTATTGTTCAATTTTGTGTGGCATCCCACAAGGCAGTATACTAGTCCAGTTTTCATTAATGACCAGACAAGTAATATCACTCAATATCTCAGGCTCATACAGTGGACCCCCGCATAACGATGGCATCACATAGCGATTATTTCGCATACCGCTTACTTTAATTGCAAAAATTTTGCCTCACATACCGCTTAAAAACCCGCTTACCGATTTTCGTCCGAGACGCGCTCACATGTTCCGCCGGTGGCATTGTTTACCAGCCAGCCTCCACGGTAACATCCAAGCATACAATCGGAATATTTCGTATTATTACAGTGTTTTCGGTGCTTTTTCTGGAAAATAAGTGACCATGGGCCCCAAGAAAGCTTCTAGTGCCAACCCTACAGCAATAAGGGTGAGAATTACAATAGAGATGAAGAAAAAGATCATTGATAAGTATGAAAGTGGAGTGCATGTCTCCGAGCTGGCCAGGTTGTATAATAAACCCCAATCAACCATCGCTACTATTGGTGGTACAGCTGCTGCTGCTGCTGCACTGTCAGCTGCTGCTGCTGCTGTAGCACCGTTGTTGGTGTGGCTTATTGAGAATACCAAGAAACAATTAACCCCAGAGGATTTGCCACCCAGGATAACCCAAAAAAGTCAGTGTCATCGAAGACTGTCTAACTTATTTCCATTGGGGTCCTTAATCTTGTCTCCCAGGATGCAACCCACACAAGTCGACTAACACCCAGGTGAACAGGGAAAAATGCCTGGAACTAGTGCTCATATTGGTGAATTTAAAGCCAGCAAAGGTTGGTTTGAGAGATTTAAGAATCGTTAGTGGCATACACAGTGTGATAAGGCCTGTTCTGGAAGAAAATGCCAAACAGGACCTACAGTACTCAGGAGGAAAAGGCACTCCCAGGACACAGTGTCTCATCAGTCATTGCTGCATCTTCAATAAAGGTAAGTGTCATTTATTCTTCATTTAGTAGACTAGTACATGCACAATTATACTGTGCATGTACTACTCTACTATTGTGCATGTATCCTTCTCTTTGTGTGTGGGAAAATGTATATTTCATGTGGTAAAATTTTTTTTTTCATACTTTTGGGTGTCTTGCACGGATTAATTTGATTTCCATTATTTCTTATGGGGAAAATTCATTCACATAGCGATTATTTCGCATAACAATTACCCCTCTTGCACGGATTAAAATCGTTAACCGGGGGTCCACTGTACTTGTATCTAACAATGCAACCAACATCAAACTACACAGTGATAAGTTTAAGCACTGCCATACATGGATGTTAGCCAGCAAGCTTTCACTAATTAAAATAACCTACTACAATAAATATTATCTGATAGACTAACAAAATATGGCTAAGCACAAACAATCAAATTAACAATAAACAAAGTAAATTCTTTGACATTCAGATAAATAGAAAACTGAACTTCATTACATACATGAGGTATATATTTAAGTACAGGAGGGCCTTGCTTTACAGCGCTTTGCTTTACAGCGCTTTGCTTTACAGCGCTTTGCTTTACAGTGTTTCGCTAATTGAGTGGTTTTCAATTATATCCATTATTCATTTATTCAGACTTCCAACAATAAATATATTCACCATTTACTAACAGCTAAGGATGAAAATATTTTAAGGTAAGCAATATGTGTACTGTATATGCCTAGCTCTATTGTTCACTTAATATACGATAGTGTAAACATATTATCAGGTTTTTATATGCATTTAAAAATGAAAAAAAAAGGCTGTTTCACTTTATAGGGATTTTCTCTTTACAACAGTAACCCAGAACTAACCTGTTGTATAAGCAGGACCCACCTGTACTCTATAATGACAGTAAGCACTACTGAAACTCTGCAAATATACTCCATGCTATAATATACAACTCTTGTATGGCTATTATACATGAAGGTCATGATCAAACAATCATCTAAAGCCAATCATTACACAACAAATATCAACAAACAAAATTCAACTAACTGATAATTCAGACAACAAACTACCCCTATCCCCTTCTTCAGATTCTCAAAGCCATTTAAGACACTCTTGTAGATACAGAAACACCTAGTAGAAAGTAGATTTCAATTTAAATGACATATCACTTGTGTGCCTGTTAGAATTGACAAGGCTTTTACATGGAACACAATTTCAAATAAAGTATATATACTCCCTACTTTGTGTTTCTCTCCATGAATACAAAACTCTATAAGAAGAATGAGATAAATCTGACTAAGTAAATGAGGAAACAAAATGAGAAATGTATGAGACTGCAGCAATATTCTCAATAGAGTGGGAAGCCTCTGTATGTAAAAAACAATGACAGCAGCAACATTTTTTCTTTACAGCAATGAAGTGTTGCCAAGAGTAAGGACAATCTTTCCACTTCTCCCATGACAATACTTTCATGGCTGATTGTAACCACAATGTATAAACACTGAGGCTACAATCAGCCATGACAATATTACCATTGCAATTCATGCCATTAGAAGCTGAAACTTACTATTTCTGCAGTACTGGAGATATGTAATGAATTCAAATCAATTACATATTTGAATGGGAATTAATAATTTATGTAAAACAGTAATCAAGCGTAAATCAAAATCATACAAAATAAATTAACAATAAAAAATGGCTCAAAACTTATGTTAATGTACACTGAAAAATACTGATCATTTAGCATATACTCACTGAAACATTGACAAAAAAATAATTTTTGAGTTTCTTGAGTGACCCAAACTGTTGTGCTAAAGGTTACAAAGTTGGGTTAAAACTGTTTGAAGTAATATTGAAATACAGTACAGAAAATAAAAGATATGTGGTAATGAACAGGTGTTGATGACTCAGTGGTTACAGTATTGAGCTCTGTCTATACAAAGACCCCAGTTTAAGTCCCCACCCAGTATTCTGCACATTCACAGAACAGCTATGTTCTGACAATTTCTTTATAATGTATTCAGACATTCTGCTGTTACTACTGAAAGGATGTATACATTGAAATTTTACCAATTTACTAAAACTTTACTGAATAATATTTGTTTGTCTGAGTAGAAATAGTTCAAGCCTGTCAATTAACAGGAGTGAAAAATATTTTTAACTGATCTCTGCCAAATAATCCGTATTATAATTCAGTGAGAGTGATATAATGCACTCACAAACTAAAACTCTAAACATTAGGTATTAAAGAGTAACAGAAAATTTTTAAGTATTATGATGTCTCACCTCATTGATTTCCAGGAGGTCCCCAGTCCTGGGATCAATAACATCCCCATAACTTCGACCTGCTATGGAACACTTGTTGAACGCCATGATGTTCTGTCAAGAATAAATTGATATTAGATGTCTCCATCACTGCTTAAGACGAACAATTTTAAAATAAAGTACAGAAGAATGCTCATACTAAAAGGTAGGTGATGTACAGTGCACCACCATAATTATACTAAGAGGTAGGTGATTTACAGTACAATACCATACTTGTACAAATCAAAGAATGGTAAAACAAAATTTATTAACCCTTAAATTGTCCAAACATAGATCTACATTTGCATGTGTAGCGCTCCGAACGTCGATCTACGTTTTATTTTTCATTCCTTTAAATTTGGCACGATAGGCCTGAGTCTCCTAGACACGAGAGAATGTGCCTGCACCCTAAGTGTGCTCAGTATGAAAAAATTCGTTGACGCTGGGGTACCGTGTGGTAGCACCAGTTACAGTGGATCTCCTTTATCGCTGATTTCGGTTTTGGCTGACTGTTTTCGCTGATTTTTTGGCTCCGTTTTCATCAATTGCCTCCATTTTCTTCGATTGTACGGAACCTGTCCAGTGCTGAGTGCACAGACAAAGCCGCCTCCCACACCATTCTCAGTCAGCGTAGCGTTGTTTCTTGGTGAGTGAACATACCTTGCCTGGTCATACGAAACATTTCGTAATACGTAATCCATTTTTTTGCCACTTGTTTATTGTGAGTGACTGCTAAATAAGCCACCATGGCCCCCAAAAAAGCTCCTGGTGCCAGTCCTTTGGTAAAGAAAGTGAGGAACACAGTAGAAATGAAAAAAGAAATCCTAAGAAAATACGATAATGGCATATGCATTGCTGAACTCGGCAGGATGTACGGGAAGTCGCCATCAACAATCAGCTCCTTTGTGGCAAAGGGAAAAGAAATCATGGAAGCTGATGTTGTGAAAGGGGTGAATGCGATAACCAAACAGAGATCACAAACAATTGAAGAAGTGGAAAAATTGTTGTTGGTGTGGATCAGAGAGAGAGAGTTAGCTGGAGATAGTGCTGTGCAGTCCAATATTTGTGGAAAGGCAAGACAGTTACATGATGACCTCTTAAAGAAACTGCCTGAAACAAGTGCTGATGTAGGTAAATTTAAGGCCAGCAAAGGCTAGTTTGAAAAATTCAAGAAGCGAAGTGGCATACACAGTGTTGTAAGGCACGGTGAGGGTGCCAGTTCTGACAAACAAGAGGCTAAAAAATTCATGCAGAAATTCAAATGTTATATAGAGGTTGAAAAATTCCAACCCCAACAAGTGTTCAATTGTGATGAAACATAAATTACAACTCATCAACACCCACAGGTATAGCCCAGGAATGCAGTCCTCAACAACGACCCTACACCATTGATAAAATTCTACAGGAAAATAGTATGCTAAGACAGCAAAACGAAACCTATGAAAAACTCATTGGGGACCTAGAGCGCTCTCTATATACCCAAAACACGAGGATTAATTACATAGAATGCCATCTTATGACACAAAACTCAAAGATTAGTGAACTAGAAAACAAACTGACATCATTAACAAACTTGTCTAAAGAACATGCAAACCTGCACTCAACTGTAGACACATACTAAACAAATAAATTCTCTCACCACCAAACTGTCAGAAGCTACACAAGATTGGAAGTTCAACACGGAATCCCAGTGGAATGCATGTTTCCAGTATCAAAGGGATATGACTGAACAAGACAAGCTCCTAGACTTTGTCATTTTAACCAGCTCTACCTTACCACCAGATACAAACAATGAGAACTGCATCATCAAAGCACTCCAGCTAATAAAAGATGAGATAAAAGTTAACAATGAAACCAGTGATATCAAGGAGGCTCGACTGCTAGGCAGGTCGGGTCAAAAGCCAAGTGTTGTGTTAAAATTCAATTCCATTGACGTAAAAAATGATCTAATAAGTTCCTCCATCAAGAAAAGGAGTAATGTGTATGTAAATGAGTGCCTAACTAAAAAACGACAGAACCTATTATACAGACTTCAAAAACTTAAGAGTGATAATGCAACAATAAAACAATGCTTTACTCGTGATGGCATTATCATGGCAATATTATCAGACACGGGTCGTAGGTTTGAAATAACAAATGATCAAGAACTAGCATGTTGTTTCCTCTCATTCACTGGTTTGACTGAACCTTAACCCATATTTTCATATCTATTAGTGAATAACAGTAATTCCCAGTTACTTAAGACACATAAGGTGCTAATTCAGGTCCTAATTGGAACAGCATCAACAGGAAGTAAGGATGTCCTTGCAGGAACAGCATCAACAGGAAGCAAGGATGTCCTTGTTAGAACAGCATCAAAGGGAAGCAAGGATATCCTTATTGGAACAGCATCAACAGGAAGTAAGGATGTCCTTGTTGGAACAGCATCAACAGGAAACAAGGATGTCTTTATTGGAACACACCATCAACAGGAAGCAAGGATGTCCTCGTTGGAACAGCATCAACAGGAAGTAAGGATGTCCTTGTTAGAACAGCATCAAAGGGAAACAAGGATATCCTTATTGGAATAGCATCAAAGGGAAGCAAGGATATCCTTATTGGAACAGCATCAACAGGAAGCAAGAATGTCCTCATTGGAACAGAGCATCAACAGGAGGCAAGGATGTTCTCACTGAAACAGCATCAACAGGAGGCAAGGATGTTCTCAGAACAGCATTAACAGGAGGCAAGGATGTCCTAGTTGCAACAGCATCAACAGGAGGCAAGGGTGTCCTCACTGAAACAGCATCAACAGGAGTCAAGGGTGTCCTCATTGGAACAGCATCAACAGGAGGCAAGGGTATCATGTTGGAACAGCATCAACAGGAGGCAAGTATGCCTCATTGGAACAGCATCAACAGGAGGAAAGAATGCCCTTGTTGGAACAGAGCATCAACAAGAGGCAAGGGTGACCTTGTTGGAAGAGCATCAATAGAAGGAAAGGGTAGTGCTGTTGGTAAAGAGCATCAACAGAAGGGAAGGATAATGTTGCAACAGAAAATCAACAGAAAGGAAAGGTAATCTTGTTGGAGTTTCTGTAGCACTGGTTTCCCCTGCAGGCAGTGTAAGCGTGAAATACGGCAACTCACAACACTACATCAGAGCACTAAAACATTCTGCTGAGATAGCACTGCTCTACCAAGGCAACCAATGTATTAAGTTATGAAATTATATGGTGAGAGGTAAAGAAAATTCTATTTAACACAACTATTCTAGTCTTGAGATGTTGGTACTTTACTTCAAAAACTGAAAACAAATAAGGCATAAGCAAACAAGTAAAAAACACGATGAATTATGTCTCAACGTCAGATAAGAATATTAAAAAAAAGATAAGAAAAAGTACAATAACTATAATTATTGCTAGCAGAAATGCAAAAAATGAGATTCAATACCTGTGTGAGGGTTCCAGTTTTATCAGAGAATATATATTCTATCTGACCAAGCTCTTCATTGAGAGTGGTTGTACGAGCTTTGGCATGTGTACCACTCTTGACATAATACATGTTATCATCCCAGTTGATGAGGAAACTCTGACACAACCGAATCACTTCCACACTGAAAGGAAAAAAAAGAGGTTATTATATACAGGATGGAAATTTTTTCAATGATAAAATAAATACCACTCAATACTTGTTGATATATATGGACAGTGTTTACCATATGAATGTTTTCAGATAGTATTTGGGAGTTGACGTGTCAGCAGATGGATTTATGAAGGATGAGGTTAATCATAGAACTGATGAAGGAAAAAAGGTGAGTGGTGCATTGAGATATATGTGGAGGCAAAAAATGTTATCTATGGAGGCAAAGAAGGGAATGTATGAAAGTATAGTAGTACAACACTCTTATATGAGTGTGAAGCTTGGGTTTAAATGCTGCAGCGAGGAGGCGTTGGAGCCAGTGGAGATGTCCTGTCTAAGGGCAATGTGTGGTGTAAATATTATGCAGAAAATTCGGAGTGTGAAAATTAAGAGAAGGTGTGGAGTTAATAAAAGTATTAGTCAGAGGGCTGAAGGGGGTTTGAGGTGGTTTGGTCATTTAGAGAGAATGGATCAAAGTAGAATGACAGAGAGCATATAAATCTGTAGGGGAAGGCAGGGTAGGGGTCATCCTCGAAAAGGTTGGAGGGAGGGGGTAAAGGAGGTGTTGTGGGCGAAAGGTTTGCACTTCCAGCAAGCGTGCGTGAGTGTGTTAGATAGGAGTGAATGGAGACAAATGGTATCTGGGACCTGACGACCTGTTAGAGTGTGAGCAGGGTAATATTTAGTGAAGGGATTCAGGGAAACCGGTTATTTAATATAACCGGACTTGAGTCCTGGAAATGGGAAGTACAATGCCTGCACTCTAAAGGAAAGATTTGGGATATTGGCAGTTTGGAGAGATATATTGTGTATTTTTATACGTATATACTTCTAAACTGTTGTATTCTGGGCACCTCTGCAAAAACAGTGATTATATGTGAGTGAGGTGAAAGCATTGAATGATGATGAAAGTATTTTCTTTTTGGGGATTTTCTTTCTCTTTGGGTCACCCTGCCTCGGTGGGAGACGGCCGACTTGTTAAAAAAAAAAAATTACCATATACAGCAGGGCCCCACATATATGGCAGATTAGGTTCCAGGCTATCACCATAAAGTGGAACGCCCTTTTTTGCCACTTATAAATACATATAAATGCTAGATAACAAGGTTACACTAACATATATTAAGTTAGCAATAGAACTTGGCATTAAAAACAATAAAAAAGTAATACAGTGGAACCTCAAATATCGAACTTTCTTCGTTCCAGACGGCTGTTTGAGTGCCATTACCGAACGAATTTATTCCCATCAGGAATAATGTAAATTAGATTAGCTCATTTCAGATGCTCAAAAATACACTTATAAAAGCACTAGCACTTACAAAAATACACTTACATAATTGGTTGAGTTGGGAGCAGTTCGATATTTGAGGTTCCACTGTATACACATATAGTACACTCATTACTTACCTTAAAATATTTGTAGTCTTAATGTAGGGCAAGATGAGGAATTTATAATAAGAAATTGGGTGTCGTAGGTATGGTAGCCAGCCAGGCCACCCCATCCCATATACATATACAGCATATACAGTTCACTCATTATTTTTTTTTTTTTAAACACATTGGCCAATTCCCACCAAGGCAGGGTGGCCCGAAAAAGAAAAACTTTCATCATCATTCACTCCATCACTCTTGCCAGAAGGGTGCTTTACACTACAGTTACAAAACTGCAACATTAAAACCCCTCCTTCAGAGTGCAGACACTGTACTTCCCATCTCCAGGACTCAAGTCCAGCCTGCCGGTACTCATTACTTACCTTGAAATATTTAAAGTCTTAATGTTGGACGAGAGGTGATAAAACAAATAAACGAGAGAGAGAATGAGTAAATGAGAGAGAGGACAGAGACGCAGAGGATGTAAACAAACACACATTTGTATTATACCATAATACAAACACTTTACATTGTGTACAATGTAAAGTGTTTGTACTGCATAATAATAATAATAATAATAATGACAATGATAATTATAATAATAATAATAGCCTCTCCTCACTTAGGAATGTACTCGTTTACCGATGCCTCAGACTTACGACAGGCTCTCTGACCAGTATTCATACCTAAATAATGTAGTATATTAGAGCTGATTTCCTCTATTCTGTTTATTTCAATACAGCAGGGCCCCGCTTTACGGCGTTTCGCTTTACGGCGTTCCGCTAATATGGACATTTCAAATTATGACCAAAACTCGTTATACAGCTCCCCCCACCTGTCTTTCTAATACGGTCACAGCTGCCCATCGAGTTTGTTTACATTCTCCCTGAGCACATCTCCTTATTATGTCTGGAAACTTTCCAAAATTTCAAGTGTTTTAAAGTTATTGTATATTTTATATGTATTGTACTTGATAATTAAACTTGTGTACACCTGTACCTAAATAAACTTACAACACTGTGCTGGCATGTAGGTACACATTAAAATCACTAAGTCTCTCTACTCTTCATTTCAATAATAATAATAAAATAATAATAATAATAATCTCTTGGGCACATTAATGTCGCATATTACGTTAATATAGACATTTCCCTTAATCTATCTATGATATTTTTTTTTCAAAATATATAAGAAACACATTATGTAACACAAACATGATACATGCACCCACAGTATAAAAATTTATACAAATATATATGAGATGTTTACCAACGGTTTGTAGAAGTGTCGGAAGAATTTCGTTTTCTCTAGCCCGTCACCTGTTACTAGGGGTAACTGTAGAAAAATATTCCTCTCGTATGCCTTCACTTTATAGCTATAATTCTGTACTAACTTGTACACAGTGTAAGAGGGATTTGTTTCGTGATTTAATTATTATAATAATAATAAAAATATTATAAGGTTAAAAGTTTCACAAACTCTTACAAATGTACATGAATGAACTAAAACTGGACAAGTATTAATACCGTCTATTTCGCCTGACCGAGTGATCGTCCACAACCTGTTCAGTTTGTTTGTTTACGCTGTCTGAGCTCGGTGTATCATTAAATGTTGTATATTATGTTAATATACACATTTTCATTAATCCATCCGTGATATTTTTTTTCAAAATTATATAATAAAACACATACATAACATAAATACATAACAACATATGTGTAGAGAACCTAGGATAACCCAAAAAAGTCAGAGTGACTTACTTCCATTGCCTTCACTCAGAGCATCATTTCTTCCAAAATGATGTTACATGAGAATGGGAGTGTTCTTCTTTATTTATTTACTACCGTATCAATGTAGAGACAACCTGTACACAATGTAACTTGTACACAAACCAGACGTGTACACTGTTTACAAAAACTTACCTTCGCCTGGTTGTTTACATAACTCTGCGCCTGTCCTCTCTCATGCACTCATTCTTTCTCTCTGGTATGGTAGCCTGGCTGACTACCATACATACCACACTTGATTTTTTACAATAAATACTACTCATCTCACCCTATATTTTAAGGTAAGTAATGAGTGAACTGTATATACATTTTATCGCTCTGGGATGCTTAAATATCATAGAATAGTATGTGTGGGTGGGGTGGCCTGGTATGGTAGCCTGGCTGACTACCATACATACCACACTTGATTTCTTACAATAAATACTACTTGTCTCACCCTATGTGTGTATTGTGTGTATTGTACTTTTTTATTGTTTTTTGATGCCTGGTTCTATTGCTAACATAATATATGTTAGTGTAAACTTGTTATCTAGTGTTTGTATGCATTTGTAAGTGGAAAAAAAGGGTGTTCCACTTTATGGCAGTTTCCGCTTTACGGCGGTAGCCTGGAACCTAACCCGCCGTATAAGTGGGGCCCTCCTGTATACAGTACACTACTGTACACACATTTTAAAATATACCAGAAATGTTATAAATGGTGAAAAGGAGACATTAAAACAATATCAAAGATGGCTGACACAAACTCACTACCATTATAGCATGCTCCTCACTTAGCAATGAATTCGTTTAACGACGTGGTATCAGGAATGAAATTCCGTCATTAAGTGAGGAGAGGCTGTAATGATAATGATAATGATAATGATAATAATAATGATAATAATAATAATAATAATAATAATAATGATAATAATAATAATAATAATAATAATGATAATAATAATAATGATAATAATAATGATAATAATAATAATAATAATACAGTGGACCCCCAGTTCGCGATGCTATCGGTATCCGATAAATCCAGTAACCGTTTTGTTAGTTTAATATGTTTATTATGCACCCCATACCCATCCTGTGGGCGGTAGTCAAAAGATTACAGAGGTACATAAATGGTCCAGGGACTGGACTCCAAAGTTTTGATAGCTGAGCAAGTTACAGAGGTAATGAACTCAAAATTTACAAAGGTAATGAACTCACAATTTACAAAGGTAATGAACTCACAATTTACAAAGGTAATGAACTCCAGGTAAGTCTGGTCACAATCATGACAAGTTACAAAGGTATTTACAGATTACAGAGGTACGTAATGGGTCCAGGGACTGGGCCCCCAAAGTTTTGATAGCTGAACTAGGTACAAAGGTAATGAGCTCACAAGTTACAAAGGTAATGAATTCTGTAGAATGGTTACTTACGTTTATACTTTGGCTACAATCATGAACAAATTATAGAGTAATGAGCAATTCACACTTCCACACCCGGTCACAACTGTAATGAGTTATTGGTGCAAATATTGATTGTTGAGTCACACACACCACACACACACACACACACACACACACACACACACACACACACACACACACACACACACACACACACACACACCACACACACACACACACACACACACACACACACACACACACACACCACACACACACACACTTTAGTTTAATATCTTTATGCACCCCATACCCATCCTGTGGGCGGTAGTCAAAAGATTACAAAGGTACATAATGGGTCCAGTGACTGGACCCCAAAGTTATGATAGCTGAACTAGTTACAAAGGTAATGTGAACTCCAGGTAGATCTGGTCACTAATCATGGCAAGTTACAGAGGTAATGAATCAGCTTCACTCCTATACATGGTTACAGTCATGAACAAATTACAAAGTAATGAACCACTGATACCGATGCATTATATCGCCAAAAATTTGCCTCGGTTCCCGTTACAAAACCCGGTATGCGATACGATTCATATGAGACGTGTCCAGTGTTTACAAGACAGCCAGTGTGCGCGCATCTAAGGATACATTCGGTACATTCCATATTATCCATATAATCACTGTTTTTGGTGCTTGTTTCTGCAAAATAAGCCACCATGGGCCCCAAGAAAGCTTCTAGTGCCAACCCTTCGAGACCAAGGGTGCTAATGACTATTGAAATGAAGAAAGAGATAATTGCAAAGTATGAATGTGGAGTGCGTGTATCGGAGCTGGTCAGGTTGTATAGTAAACCCCAATCAACCATCTCTACTATAGTGAGCAGGAAAATGGCAATCAAGGAAGCTGTTCTTGCAAAAGGTGCAACTGTGATTACGAAACAGCGACCGCAAGTGTTAGAAAATGTTGAGAGATTGTTATCGGTGTGGATAAATGAAAAACAGATAGCAGGAGATAGCATCACTCAAGCGATCATTTGTGAAAAGGCTAGGCAGTTGCATGATGATTTGGTAAAGAAATTGCCTGCAACTAGTGGTGATGTGAGTGAATTTAAGGCCAGCAAAGGTTGGTTTGAAAGATTTAAGAATCGTAGTGGAATACATAGTGTGATTAGGCATGGTGAGGCTGCCAGTTCAGACCACAAAGCAGCTGAAAAATATGTGCATGAATTCAAGGAGTACATAGAGGCTGAAGGATTGAAACCTGAACAAGTGTTTAATTGTGACGAAACAGGCCTGTTTTGGAAGAAATTGCCAAGCAGGACTTACATTACTCAGGAGGACAAGCTGCCTCAAGTCCTAATGGAGGGGGATTCCCCTTCTAAACAATAGGTTCAACACTCTCCCCTCCTCCCATCCCATCAATCATCACCAGATCTTCATTAAAGGTAAGTGTCAATTATTCTATTGTTAATGTTGTTATTGTAATTATTCTATTGCATTAAACTTAATATTCATGTGGTAAAAGTTTTTTTTCATACTTTTGGGTGTCTTGCACAGATTAATTTGATTTCCATTATTTCTTATGGGGAAAATTGATTCGCTTTCCGATAATTTTGGTTTACAATGAGCTCTCAGGAACGGATTAATATCATGAACCGGGGGTCCACTGTAATAATAAATAAAATATTGTTTAGCTTCCAACACAATGCAAGCTTTCTCTCTCTTTACCCCCAGTAATATTATTGTGTACACATTTTCTTTGGTGTTTAACCCTTTCAAGGTCAGTGTCGTAGATCTACGGCTTTACATTGAGGGTCCAAACCGTAGATGTACGCCATGAGCTCAGATCACTCTGATAAGCTGTGAGTGGCAAATTTGGGCCTAGATATGAGAGAATACATCTATGTGGTATGTGTGCACCACATAAAACAAATCCTGCAGCACAGTGTGTAATGAGAAAAAAACTGAGACCATGATTTTCGATTAAAACAGCGATTTTGCAGTGTTTTTTCATATGTTTCTTATAGTTGTATTTGTGATTTCTTTGTCTCATTTGATAGAATTGAAGATATATTACAGAAATAGAGATGATTTTGATTGGTTTTAGTACTGGAAATGGCTTGAAACTGAGCTCAAAGTAACGGAAATGTTAAATTTTTGCCGATGTTCAAGAGTAAACAAACAACCTCACACGTCTAATACATGCCAGCTGGTAGGTCTAATATACACTCACAAATGTGGTGATGATATTTATACAATTATTACAATACTGCATAACAGTAAATCTTCTATTTTTTCGTTTGAATAAAAATTCATTATGTGAATAAAAAATCAAAATGGAATTCATTTGTAAAGCCTGAAAACATAACTAATGAACAGAGGAAATGTTAGTTTTGTGCCAGGAATGCCTGCATTGTTTATTCTGGACCCTATTTTGAAATTGAAATATTTTGAACTTTGTGTTAAATTGGCCAAATTACCAATTTCCGGTCACTTTATTTTGTAGTTGAAACAGTTGGCTGGGCGATTTCTTGTGCTCACTCGATAGAATAGAAATAATACTAGTGAAATACCTAAGAATTTGGTCAACTGAAATAACGTAATTGGCCTAAAATGGGAGTCAAAGTCGGCAAAATCGCCGATTCGTAAATATCGCTGACATCAAAATTCGCGAGAGCATAATTTCGTCAATTTTCCATCAAATTTCTTACTTTTTGTTTTATTAACTTCAGAAAAAGATTCTCTACCATTTCATAAGAAAAAATCATTTTTTTTTTAGAAAATTCTTGGACCCTGGTACACACTTTGAAATTTGGCTTCTGGACCCTGAAAAGGTTAACTACAAAAGCATTATTCTTTCCGGCACTTTGGCAAGATGACTAGAGAAACATCTCATATTTATGTTAATTTATTCTACTTTTGGGTGTATTTATCATGTTTATATGTTATGTAGCATGTTTATTATATAATTTTGAAAAAATATCATAGATGGATTATTGAAAATGTGTATACAGTAAAACTCCGGGTTTTCATCCGGTCCAAATATTGTACAATTCGGATTTCAACCACTTTTTCGGCAAATTTTTACTTTTGGTTTCGTACATCGACTCGGAAATCGTTCATATCAGACGTGTCCGCCCACCGGGTCCACCGCCTGACTCAGTCTGCCTCTGTCACTTGTCGAGTGAACAATACTCCGTGCATTCATCCATTGTTTTTGTTGCTTGTTTATTGAGTGCAACTGAGAAATAAGCCACCATGGGGCCACAGAAAGTCCAGAGTGCCAGCCCTTAGGTAAAGAAGGTAAGAAACATGATAGAATTCAAGAAAGAGCTTGTATCAAAATATGAAAGTGGTGTACGTGTGCCGAGCTTGCCAGGATGTATGGTAAGTCCAAATCAACAATCACTTCCATCCTGGCAAAGAAAGCAAAAATCAAGGAAGCCGATGTTGTGAAAGGGGTAAATATGCTAACGGAACAGAGATCACAAACAATGTCTTGTCCCATTTTAGGCAAATCTTAAAGAGATGCCAGAAAGAGGCCAGATTTTTTGTGTGACAGGGGTGCAGTGACTCTCAAGCTGGTCCTAGTGCCAGTAAAAGACAAAGAAGGGAAGCAACACAGGATAGGGCTTTGATACCTGAAGTCCTTTCGGAGGGGGATTCCCCTTCCAAACAATAACCTCTCCTCTCTCTCCCCTCCTCGCCTTCTTCCATACGCCAACAAGAGTTTTCAATAAAGTTATGTAATAGTGATTTAAATGTTCATTTATCCATTAAAAATAGTGCTTTATATTTATTTCTCATTGCTTTCGGTATGTAAAATTAGTTATTCTCTATGAAATGTATTTTTTATTAATATTTTTGGGTGCTGGAATGGATTAATTGGATTTACATTATGGGAAATATTACTTCGATTTTCGTCCATTTAGGATTTCAACCGACCTTCTGAAACGGATTAAGGATGAAAACCGGGGTGCCACTGTATTAACCTAATATACGACATTTAATGTGCTTCAGTGTGATTATTATTGCGTATTATTTATCATTATTAATAAGACACTCTTAGTGATTTTAATGTGTACCTGCATGCCAGCACAGTTTATTTAGGTACAGGTACACATACGTATAATTATCAGAGTAGTATATATAAAACATGAAATAACTTTAAAACACTTGAAATTTTGGAAAGGTTCCAGACATAATGGAGAAACGTGGTGCTCACGGAGTTCACGGAGAATGTAAACAAACCGGGTGGGACGCGGTGACCGTATTAGAAAGTCAGGTAGGGAGAGCCATACAGTGAGTTTTGGTCATGATCTGAAATGTCCATATTAGTGGAACGCCGTAGAGCTAAATGCCATAAAGCGGGGCCCTACTGTACTGAGAATTTTTTAACTACAGTATTCTGCAATTAAATAGTATCAATATCCCAGAATGATAAAAATGATGAGAAATTTAAACTTTTTAAGCTTAAAACAAGAATAAACACACAAATAACTAAATCTGTAAATGCCACTGTAGCTTTCTACTCTCTCTGTAGTTAGTCAAGAGCTTACAAAATATTGCATTGCCAGTAAGACCATAACAAAATCAGTTCTAAAGATGGCAAATTCAGATATCTGAATCCTTGAAGTTACACTAGGCAAACTAAGAATTGCAAAAAATTTATTATTACATTTACACAATTTTTATTAAGTCCTTGATGATGAATGATACTTACCTAACATATAGTGAAATAGGCACCACGGTGTTAAGGACAATAGTATAAGAGAAGAAGACCAGAAGGGCTATCACAGTAGCACCACCTGCAGGATCTGGTGGTATCAGTGAGTCCCAAGGCAAGTACACTCTGAAGTACTGGCCTGTAATATTCAATATTTTATCACTTTTTAATCCATCCTCATAAATACTATGTCAACATTTCACATACAATGTTCAGCAAATTTCTTAATTATCTTATTTAGCTTAGGCTTGACTAAGCTAGGTTAGGTTAGGTTTAGTAAGGTCAGACTGCCATCTATCAATAAAAGTTAACCAATTATAACAATATTAACATAAGACAATGCCAATAAATAAAACATCACATAAAGGTGATAAAAGGTTTTGAAGCACAAACAGTAAACAGGGGATCCACCAAACACACAAGAAAATACAGTCAGATAATAAATGTCTATAGTTCATGAACAATGAACCATCTGACTGTTATTAAGAGAATGGGTTGCACTTCCTATTAGATATTTTTTGCCACATTGGCTATTTCCTACCAAACAGGGCAATCCTAAGAAGGAAACTTATTCACTGGCTTAAAAAAAGAAAAACACTACATCTCAGCAGGTAGACATTGCCTTAACAATGACTTATAGATCAAGTCGTCATCACAGACTGGTTTCTCTTATGAGTCAATGTTAAAAGTTCTTATGTTTCCTGGGATATATATTTATAGCTTTTTTTCTTCTTTCAATGCACTGGCCGTATCCCAACGAGGCAGGGTGGCCCACGAGAAAAAACAAAAGTTTCTCCTTTTAAATTTAGAAATATATACAGGAGAAGGGGGCCAGAGGACACTCTCTTGATTACCTAAAATCTTATCTTAGCAACAGAACCCAGTATATATATACAAATGGAGCTAACTCCACTACACAACCAGTTCTTGTTGAAGTCCCACAGGGGAGTGTCCTTGGCCCATTTCTCTTTCTCATTTACATCAATGGCCTTCCAAATGCATCTAAACTCCTTAAACCCATTTTATTTGCAGATGACACTATTTATGTCTTCTCTCACCCAAACCCAACTATGCTAACAGACACTGAAAATGCCAAACTACTAAAAATATCTACTTGGATGACTACCAACAAACTTACTCTCAATATAGACAAAACCTATTTTATGCTGTTTGGAAACATAGCTACAAATGTACAGCTTAACATACTGATAAATGGTTCACCCATTACTAGACACACAGAGGGCAAATTTCTAAGTCTCCACCTAGGCTGCAATCTCAAATTCCAAACTCATGTACAGTAAATATCCAAGAAAGTCTCCAAAACAGTAGGCATCCTCTCAACGATACGGTACTATGTACCCCCAATCAGCTCTTCTTGCACTATACCACTCACTCATCTACCCTTACCTCATCTATGGCATTTGTGCATGGGGCTCAACCACAGCAAATCACCTTAAACTTTTAATAACCCAACAAAAAACTGCAGTGTGATTGATTACAAACTCCTGTAGCAGACAGCATACTCCTTTGCTTTTCAAGAGCCTTAACTTACTCAATATACAAAACATCCACACTTATTATTGTGCCTGCTACATGCACAGAAAACTATACTCAAATATAAACCCTCCTCTCAAACTCCTACTTGCTAACTACAACAGAACACACAACCATAATACCACTCTTCGATGTCCCTGGTGTCCATTTCTCCCTGTGCAAAAATGCAATGCATGTAAAGGGCCCAAAGATCTGGAATACATTACCAGAACACACTAAAGGACCTGTGCCAGTAAATCAATTTAAGTCCCTACTTAGAAATCTCCTCATCACCCAAAATTAACCAGAAAAGCTGTACTTAATACCTACCATTTTCTCAAAAGCAACACAAAAAGCACCAATGATGTCTCAATTTCGATACTGAATATTTTGCTGAAGATTGCTCAACCATGTACTAATTACCTCCCTGGGCAGGTACTGTCTACGAACCTACTACCTAGATATTTACAGCTAAATTTTTTTTTCCAGAGAGCAAGTGAGTAGCTTACCTGTAAGCATTTCCCAAATACCACAAGCTACTGTGCAAAATAGGCACATGGAGAGTAGAAAAAATACAATCTGAAAGGAAAAATACGAAGCTTAATACAAACCACAGCTATAAGTACAACTATTGAATTCAGAATTTTTTTTTATATCCACATTAGTCATTCAACAATAAGAAAATTTTAATATATATACATTAAAAAAAGCAGCTTTTCCTAACTTACAAAATCAATTAACTTACCCCTAAAATAATGAAATTTAACAATCTATCAATACTTGTGCGTTTAAACTTTGTTTTGCCAGAATTCATCATAAGTTTAGTGTCTTTGCCAGCAAATATAACAACACCGTAGCACCAGTTTGTGTTGCGCAGTATACAACCCCTTAGTAGAATCTTGTCATTGTCCAGTGAATGTCTGAAATAAAAAAACATTACTAAGATGGTTTCATGCTTATGTACTGTAGACAATAAGATGTACTCTCATTGTCAATATATCAGTTACTGAAGTCCCTATCATTACTCATTCAGTTGTTGTTTTGCCAGAAGTGTGCTGACATCGCAATTAAGATTACCCTTCACCTGAAACATCCCCATCCTTCCACCTAAAGACTGAAGTCCAGCTAACTTATTTCCTGTGAATCTCTTCATAAATGTTACCTTGCTTACACTCCAGGGTGTGTCCATTGAAAACCACTAGTTTCTTTTTCTCACTCACTCAAACATAATCAACTCTCCCCCCATCCCCCCCCACAAACACACAGCACATCTCCTGAAGCGCACATCAACCAAATGACCGCTGCAGCATATGGGTGCCTGGCAAATTTAAGATATCTAAACAAGGAGTAATTCATGACACTGTACATCGTGTATGTCAGGCTCATATTAGAATATACAGAACAAGTATGGAACCCACACCTGGTCAAACATGTCAAGAGATTAGAGAAAGTGCAAAAGTTTTCAACAAGACCAGTCCAGGAGCTAAGGAGTATGTCCCATGAGAAGAGGTTAAGGGAACTCAACCTGATGACACTGGAGGACAGGAGGAATAGGGAGACATGTATAAAATACTGAGAGGAACTGACAAGGTGAACAGGGCCAGAATGTTTCTGAGATGGGGCATAGGAACAAGGGGACACAACTAGACGTTAAAAACTCAAAGGAGTCATAGCCATAGAATTATCAGGAAGTGGAACAATCTGGAGAGTGAAATAGTGGAGGCATGAGCCATATATAACTTTAAGAAGAGGTATGATAAGACTCTTGGAGCAGGGAGGGGGTGAAGCTAGTAGCAACTAGCAAAGAGGCAGGGCCAGGAGCTATGTATGTATATATGTTATAGGTAATACATATTTTAAGAAAAAGAGGATAAATAAGTATACACGATATGATGTAGGGCGAAATGACTGTAGTTTGTTGGATTATGTATTGGTAGATAAAAGACTGTTGAGTAGACTTCAGGATGTACATGTTTATAGAGGGGCCACAGATATATCAGATCACTTTCTAGTTGTAGCTACACTGAGAGTAAAAGGTAGATGGGATACAAGGAGAATAGAAGCATCGGGGAAAGAGAGAGGGGAAGGTTTATAAAACTAAAAGAGGAGGCAGTTAGGGGAGATATTAACAGCTATTGGAGGATAGATGGGGTAATGAGGCATAGGCAATGGGGTCGAAGAGGTATGGGGTAGGTTTAAAAATGTAGTGTTAGAGTGTTTAGCAGAAGTTTTTTGGATACAGGAAAGTGGGTTCGGAGGGAAGAGGAGCGATTGGTGGAAAGATGATGTAAAGAGTTAGTAAGGGGAGAAAAGTTAGCATATGAGAAGTTTTTACAAAGTAGAAGTGATGCAAGGAGGGAGAGTATATGGAGAAAAAGAGAGAAGTTAGAGAGTGGTGAAGCAATGTAAAAGGGAGCAAATGAGAGAGTGGGTTTAGATGTTATCAACAAAATTTTTTTGAAAATAAGAAAAAATTTTGGAGTGAGATTACAAGTTAGAAAGCCTAGAGAACAAATGGATTTGTCAGTTAAAAAATAGGAGAGGAGAGTTATTAAATGGAGAGTTAGAGGTATTGGGAAGATGGAAGGAATATTTTGAGGAATTGTTAAATGTTGATGAAGATAGGGAAGCTGTGATTTGTGTATAGGGCAAGGAGGAATAACATCTTGTAGGGGTGAGGAAAGCCAGTTTGTGAGTGTGGGGGAGTTCGTGAGGCAGTAGGTAAAATGAAAGGGGGTAAGGCAGCCGGGATTGATGGGATAAAGATTAGAAATGTTAAAAGCAGGTGGGGATATAGTTTTGGAGTGGTTGGTGCAATTATTTAATAAATGTATGGAAGAGGGTAAGGTACCTAGGGGTTGGCCAGAGAGCATGCATAGTTCCTTTGTACAAAGGAAAAGGGGATAAAAGAGAGTGAAAAATTATGGGGGGATAAGTCTTTGATTTGTACCTGGTAAGGTTTTAGGTGATTTAAAATTTTGAAAGAATTAAGAGAAAAGGGAGAATAGGATAGCGAGAAAAAGGGGGCTTTGGGAAAGGTAGGGGGGTTGGGACCGGGGTTTTACAGTGAAACTATAAGTGAACATATTTAGATAAGGCAAAAGAGGTCTTTGGGCATTTATGGATTTGGAAAAGGCGTAAAACGGGGTGGATAGGGGGGCAATGTGCAGATTTGCAATGTATGGGTGGGGGGGTTTAAAAGCAGTGAAGGTTTTTTTAGAGGTAGTGGGGTCAAGTTGGTATGTAGGAAAGGGGGGAAATTTTTTTCCCCGTAAAAGTGGGCCTTTTAGAAAAGGTGTGTGATGTCCCCGTGGTTGTTTAATAATTTATAGAGGGGGTTTTAAAGGAGAAGTAAATGCGGGGGTCTTTGGCAAGGGGCGGGATTTAAAAAAGATAAAGAATAAACCCCAAAAAGGGGGGAGTTGTCACGCTGCTCTTTGCGATGACACTGTGCCTTGGGGATTCTGAGAGAATTTGCAGAGATTGGTGGTAAATTTTGTAGGGGTGCAAAAGAAAAAAATTAAAGGTAAATACAGGAAAGAGTAAGGTTATGGGAAACAAAAAGATGGGTGATAAAAGATTGAAATATCAGTTGGGGGGAGAGTATGGAGGAGGTGAACGATTCAAAAAATTTGGGAGGGGATTCAGCGGATGGGCTATGAAAGATGGTTTAACATAGAATTGATGAGGGAAAAAGAGGAGTGGTGCCTTAGGAGTTGGGAGACAAAAACTTTGCCCTTTGGGAGGCAAAGGGGGGGAATGTATAGATTTATAGTTTTCCCAAACGCTTTTAATGGTGGAAGCGTGGGTGATGAATTTTGCAGCGGGGAGAAGGCTGGGGGCAGTGGAGATGTCATGTCTGAGGGCAATTTTGGGGTGGAATATAATGCAGGAATTCGTGTTTGGAAGTTAGGAGGAGGTGGGGGGATTCCAAAAAAAGTTGTCCAGGGGGAGGAAGGGTTGTTGGGGTGGTTGGGCATGTAGAGAGAATGGAGCGAAACAGAATGACTTCAAGAGTGTTCATCTGTGGGGAAAAAAAGGCGGGGTAGGGGCCCCCTGGGAAAAGGGTTGGGGGAGGGGGTAAAGGGGGTTTTTTGTGTGCGAGGGCTTGGACTTCCACAGGCAGGTGAGCGTGTTTTTGATAGGAGTGAATGGGGGAAAAATGGTTTTTAAATTGACGTGCTGTTGGAGTGTGAGCCCAAAGAAAAAAATTTTTGAAGGGATTCAGGGGGAAAACCCGGGAGGCCGGACTTGGTCTGGAGATGGGAAGTACGTCCCGCACCTTTAAGGGGGGTTTAAAGTTGCGTTTTTAAAAAAAAGAGTGTAAAGCACCCCCTTTTGGCAAGACAGTGATGGAGTGATGTGGTGAAAGTTTTTCTTTTTCGGGGCCCCCCCCCTGCCTTGTGGGAATCGGCCGGTTGTAAAAAAAAAAAAAAAAAACTACATATACATAACATTATATAATTTTTTTTATTAACACATCAGCCATTTCCCCCCAAGGCAGCGTAGCCTGAAAAAGAAAATGTCATCATTCACTTATCACGGCTTGCCAGGGTGGCTTCACTCAATTTTAAAATTTCAAATTTAAAACCCCTTTCCCTTTAGAGTGCAGGCACTGTACTTCCCCTCTCCAAATTTCCCTGATCCCTTCAAAATGCTACCTTTCACCTCCCAAAAGCACGCAAGTATTAAAAACCATTTTCTATTCGCTCCTATCTAAATGCTTTGATGTTTTTCGAAGTCCAAGCCCCCTTGCACACAAAAACCCCTTTACCCCTCCTTCCCCCCTTTCCCAAGCAGACCCTACCCCCCCTTCCCCATACAAATTTATACACTCTCAAAGTCATTCTATTTTGTTCCAACTCTCTACAATTTAAACCCCCTCAATAACCCCTCCTCAACCCCTGGATAATGTTTTGGTAATCCCACCCCTCCCCACTCCACACTATAGTTCCTGCTTATTTCACCCAACTTGCCCCCAGACATGACATCTCCATGCCCCCAGCCCCCTCCTCAATTTCAAATTCATCACTCTGCTTCATCCAATAAAAAGGGGCTGGGAAAACTTTCCTCATACATTCCCCCCTTTGCTTTTTATGGGTAAAGTCTTTGTCTCCACAGACTCCCCTGCACCACTCACCTTTTCCCCTGCAATTTATGTTCACCTCATCTTTCATAGGCCCCTCTGCGACACGTCCAGTCCCAAAAATCTGAAAACATTCCCCTCCATATGCTCCCCTCCAATCTGATACCAATCTTTTGTTTCATTACCTTTTCTTTCTATACTCACTTTTAATTTCCTTCTTTTGCATACCCTACCAAACTTATCCACCAACTTTTGCAACTTCTCTTCAGAATCTCCTAAAGGCACAGTGTCATCAGCAAAGAGCAACTGTGACAACTCCAACTTTGTTTTAGATTCTTTATCTTTTAATCCCACACTGGCCATATCCCACCAAGACACAGTGACTCAAAAAAGACACACTTTCACCATCATTCACACATAATCACTGTCTCTGAAGGTGCTCAGATATGACAGTTTAGATATCACTACAAACATCCGATATCAGTCATTGTACTTCCCACCTCCAGAACTCAAGTCTGGCTAATGAATCCCTTTACAAAATATTACCCTGCTCACACTCCAATAGCTCATCAGGTCCCAAAAACCAGCTGTCTCCATTTACTCCTATCTAACAAGCTCACACATGTCTGCTGCATGTCCAAGCCCTTTGCACACAAAACATCTTTAACCCTTCTCTAGATGTAAAAGAGCAGTGTAGGGATTACTAAATGAAAATAATAATAACTTACATATTGCCCTCCCAGTGTAGAGTTCCATCAAACTTGTTGAGCTGGTTGTTGGGAGGTTCACAGTGAATCTCTCCCTGGAATGCTCCGATGAGACTAGTATCCTGACCAAGGTCTTCAGTCTCGGGTAGGCACTGCTTGCATTTAAGATTGGTTTCACTGCAAATAAATAATATCTCAGCGTAAACATGTTATCAGCTTTTTATATGCATCTGAAAGTGAAAAAAGGCTGTTTAACTGGCGTAAAGTGATTTTCGCTTCACAGTGTAGTAACCCAGAATCTAACCTGCTGTATTAAGCAGGGCCCACCTGTACTTGAAATATCTGATAAAAAACCATTCACGCATGTTAAATATTTTTTCATATGGTAACATACTATTTAAAATTTGGAGATTTTAAATTAAATTGGCATTTGAAGCTTCTTCTAGCCAAGTGGTGGCTAGCATACCTGAAGCAATAAAACATTTTAAGATCAACAGAAATGCTCTTCGTATTGATTTATCACCTGTAAAAACAACATAATACATCATAACAATGAACTACAACTACATATTCACTTTTATTTTTGTAAGATGTAGAGGTCTAAAACAAAGTTGTTTGGCTTTTGGGGGGGCTCCCAGGAAAGTAACCCTATTTTTCCCAAAAGTTCTTCAGTTCATCTAACACAATTTTACCTAACATGGCATTTTCAGGAACATAACTACCGTGCTAAATGACGGTTTACTTTATGTATGTATGTATGTGTGTGTACTCAACTAACTGTGGTTGCAGGGGTCGAGACTCAGCTCCTGGCCCTGCCTCTTCACTGATCGCTACTAGGTCCTCTCTCTCTCTGCTTCCTGAGCTGTATCATACCTCTTCTTAAAACTATGTATGGTTCCTGCCTCCACTACTTCACTTGCTAGGCTATTCCACTTCCTGACAACTCTATGACTGAAGAAATACTTCCTAATGTCCCTGTGACTTGTCTGAGTCTTCAGCTTCCAGTTGTGACCCCTTGTCCCTGTGTCCCCTCTCTGGAACATCCTATATCTGTCCACCTTGTCTATTCCCCGCAGTATGTTGTATGTCGTTATCATGTCTCCCCTGACCCTTCTGTCCTACCAAATCATCATGCAACTTTCTAGCCTTTTCACATATGATCGCTTGAGAGATGCTGTCTCCTGCTATCTGTTTCTCGTTTATCCACACCAATAAAAGTCTCTCAACATCTTCTATCACTTGCGATCTCAGTTTCGAAAACATAGTTGCACCTTTGGCAAGAACAGCTTCCTTGATTGCCGTTTTCTTGCCCAAAATAGTAGTGATGGTTGATTGGGGTTTATTATACAACCTGACCAGCTCAGAGATACGCACTCCACTTTCATATTTATCAATGATCTCTTTCTTCATCTCCATAGTAATTCTCACCCTTTTTGCTGTAGGGTTGGCACTAGAAGCTGTGATAATATGAAATGTTCCAGTTGTATGTTTGGAAGCGACCACGGTGGCTGGCTTGCTTGTAAACACTGGCATCAAAGGGACAAGTGAGGCGCGCTCAGGCCAAAGTGGACGCGTATGGTACGGAACGAATAGCGCTGGTCGGATTTTTAAGCACTAGTCGAGGCAAAACTTTTGCATTAAAATGTATCGCTAGTCAGATTTATCGTTAATCGATGACATCGTTGGTCGAGGGTCCACTGTGTATATATAAATATATATATATATATATATATATATATATATATATATAATATATATATATATATTATATATATATATATATATATATATACGTATATATATATATAAAATATATATATATATATATATATATATAATATAAAATATTATATATATATATATATATATATATAATATATTTTATATATATATATATTATATTTATTATTATCACACTGGCCGATTCCCCCCAAGGCAGGGTGGCCCGAAAAAGAAAAACTTTCACCATCATTCACTCCATCACTGTCTTGCCAGAAGGGTGCTTTACACTACAGTTTTTAAACTGCAACATTAGCACCCCTCCTTCAGAGTGCAGGCCTCAAGTCCAGGACTCAAGTCCGGCCTGCCGGTTTTCCCTGAATCCCTTCATAAATGTTACTTGCTCACACTCCAACAGCACGTCAAGTATTAAAAACCATTTGTCTCCATTCACTCCTATCAAACACGCTCACGCATGCCTGCTGGAAGTCCAAGCCCCTCGCACACAAAACCTCCTTTACCCCCTCCCTCCAACCCTTCCTAGGCCGACCCCTACCCCGCCTTCCTTCCACTACAGACTGATACACTCTTGAAGTCATTCTGTTTCGCTCCATTCTCTCTACATGTCCGAACCACCTCAACAACCCTTCCTCAGCCCTCTGGACACAGTTTTGGTAATCCCGCACCTCCTCCTAACTTCCAAACTACGAATTCTCTGCATTAATTCACACCACACATTGCCCTCAGACATGACATCTCCACTGCCTCCAGCCTTCTCCTCGCTGCAACATTCATCACCCATGCTTCACACCCATATAAGAGCGTTGGTAAAACTATACTCTCATACATTCCCCTCTTTGCCTCCAAGGACAAAGTTCTCTGTCTCCACAGACTCCTAAGTGCACCACTCACTTTTTTCCCTCATCAATTCTATGATTCACCTCATCTTTTCATAGACCCATCCGCTGACACGTCCACTCCCAAATATCTGAATACGTTCACCTCCTCCATACTCTCTCCCTCCAATCTGATATTCAATCTTTCATCACCTAATCTTTTTGTTATCCTCATAACCTTACTCTTTCCTGTATTCCCCTTTTAATTTTCTTCTTTTGCACACCCTACCAAATTCATCCACCAATCTCTGCAGCTTCTCTTCAGAATCTCCCAAGAGCACAGTGTCATCAGCAAAGAGCAGCTGTGACAACTCCCACCCTGTGTGTGATTCTTTATCTTTTAACTCCACGCCTCTTGCCAAGACCCTCGCATTTACTTCTCTTACAACCCCATCTATAAATATATTAAACAACCACGGTGACATCACACATCCTTGTCTAAGGCCTACTTTAACTGGGAAAAAATTTCCCTCTTTTCTACATACTCTAACTTGAGCCTCACTATCCTCGTAAAAACTCTTCACTGCTTTCAGTAACCTACCTCCTACACCATACACTTGCAACATCTGCCACATTGCCCCCCTATCCACCCTGTCATACGCCTTTTCCAAATCCATAAATGCCACAAAGACCTCTTTAGCCTTATCTAAATACTGTTCACTTATATGTTTCACTGTAAACACCTGGTCCACAAACCCCCTACCTTTCCTAAAGCCTCCTTGTTCATCTGCTATCCTATTCTCCGTCTTACTCTTAATTCTTTCAATTATAACTCTACCATACACTTTACCAGGTACACTCAACAGACTTATCCCCCTATAATTTTTGCACTCTCTTTTATCCCCTTTGCCTTTATACAAAGGAACTATGCATGCTCTCTGCCAATCCCTAGGTACCTTACCCTCTTCCATACATTATTAAATAATTGCACCAACCACTCCAAAACTATATCCCCACCTGCTTTTAACATTTCTATCTTTATCCCATCAATCCCGGCTGCCTTACCCCCTTTCATTTTACCTACTGCCTCACGAACTTCCCCCACACTCACAACTGGCTCTTCCTCACTCCTACAAGATGTTATTCCTCCTTGCCCTATACACGAAATCACAGCTTCCCTATCTTCATCAACATTTAACAATTCCTCAAATATTCCCTCCATCTTCCCAATACCTCTAACTCTCCATTTAATAACTCTCCTCTCCTTTTTTTAACTGACAAATCCATTTGTTCTCTAGGCTTCCTTAACTTGTTAATCTCACTCCAAAACTTTTTCTTATTTTCAACAAAATTTGTTGATAACAGCTCACCCACTCTCTCATTTGCTCTCTTTTTACATTGCTTCACCACTCTCTTAACCTCTCTCTTTTTCTCCATATACTCTTCCCTCCTTGCATCACTTCTACTTTGTAAAAACTTCTCATATGCTAAAATTTTTCTCCCTTACTACTCTCTTTACATCATCATTCCACCAATCGCTCCTCTTCCCCCTGCACCCACTTTCCTGTAACCACAAACTTCTGCTGAACACTCTAACACTACATTTTTAAACCTACCCCATTCCTCTTCGACCCCCTTGCCTATGCTCTCATTAGCCCATCTATCCTCCAATAGCTGTTTATATCTTACCCTAACTGCCTCCTCTTTTAGTTTATAAACCTTCACCTCTCTCTTCCCTGATGCTTCTATTCTCCTTGTATCCCATCTACCTTTTACTCTCAGTGTAGCTACAACTAGAAAGTGATCTGATATATCTGTGGCCCTCTATAACATGTACATCCTGAAGTCTACTCAACAGTCTTTTATCTACCAATACATAATCCAACAAACTACTGTCATTTCGCCCTACATCATATCGTGTATACTTATTTATCCTCTTTTTCTTAAAATATGTATTAACCTATAACTAAACCCCTTTCTATACAAAGTTCAATCAAAGGGCTCCCATTATCATTTACACCTGGCACCCCCAAAATTACCTACCACACCCTCTCTAAAGGTTTCTCCTACTTTGCATTCAGGTCCCCTACCACAATTACTCTCTCACTTGGTTCAAAGGCTCCTATACATTCACTTAACATCTCCCAAAATCTCTCTCTCTCCTCTGCATTCCTCTCTTCTCCAGGTGCATACACGCTTATTATGACCCACTTCTCGCATCCAACCTTTACTTTAATCCACATAATTCTCGAATTTACACATTCATATTCTCTTTTCTCTCCTTCCATAACTGATCATTTAACATTACTGCTACCCCTTCCTTTGCTCTAACTCTCTCAGATACTCCAGATTTAATCCCATTTATTTCCCCCCACTGAAACTCTCCTACCCCCTTCAGCTTTGTTTCGCTTAGAGCCAGGACATCCAACTTCTTTTCATTCATAACATCAGCAATCATCTGTTTCTTGTCATCCGCACTACATCCACGCACATTTAAACAACCCAGCTTTATAAAGTTTTTTCTTCTTCTCTTTTTTAGTAAATGTATACAGGAGAAGGGGTTACTAGCCATTGCTCCCGGCATTTTAGTCGCCTCATACGACACGCATGGCTTACGGAGGA